ATCATGAATAAGCTCGCCTTCCAGAAACTTGACTGGTTTTAAAGTAAGAAGATGGTCAAAAAGAAAGGCATTTGGATCTTTCAATGCTCGTACAATGCACCTGTGGGCATCGACTCGCGCCTGAGAAGCATTGTCCTCCGTGTAACTTCCAAGCAATTCCACCATGACTTTTGAAGCAGCATCGCTTTTCTTACAATCCACGAGTGCCTCATAAAGTAGCCTTAAAAGGGTGTGTTTCTTTTCCGTGGTGAGATTCCAGTCAGAAATCCATTTTCTAACCTGGTCCAGCTCTGTAGGCACATACTGGATGGCCCCGCAGGACGCCGCCACTCTAACGAGGCTGCAGTACACCACGTACCTCACCAGGGTGTTCTTATCCATCCCATGGAAAAGGTTGCTAAGCAGCTGCAGTCTCAGAGACGGACGCTCGCCTTCCCGGAATTTGACCAGCTTCTCACACAGGCTTTCGATCAGGGCCTCCTGCTTGTCCGGTTCAAGAATCAGTAACAGGGAGACCACACTGTTCATCACACTTTCCACATCCTTATCGTCTTCCTTCAGACAGCCGTCACAGGCCTCAACGATCTGAGCTAGGTCCACATGAAGCCCGCCTTCCAAGTTCTCCTCCGAGATTTCCGCTCCTTTGGACTTGAGGTACGCTCGCAGCTCGGCAGCCTGGTCCTCCTCGCTGATGTCGATGAAGGCCGGGACACTCATAGCGCCGGCCCACGTCTCCGCGCTCGCCTCTCACCCTGAACAACTACTTTAAAGATAACAATATGCACTATAACAACCATTGTTAGTTATATGTCATCTTGATTTGAAATTATGTATTATTCTTATTTTTCTTTTAATTCTCTTTAAAATAAAAATAAATATGTGAATGGTTTAAAAAAAAAACAAACTAAAGGTATGAAGCCAAACACCAACCACCTTCTATAGTGAAGACAGCCTGTAGGTCCGCAGATAAGCTTCCTGTGGTTGACAGCCCACCACCAGGCCTTCCACCGTCAGAGGACATGGCAGACCCTCCACTTGCAAGTGAGAGCGCTGCTTCAGAGGTTCCTGAGGAGCAGGACAGTGCCTCCCACGGAGCTCACCTTAGTCACTCTTCTCACTGAAGGGAAAGTGGTGTGTTTTTTTTTTTGTTGTTTGTTTGTTTTGTTTTTTTCAGCAAACCACAGAGATTCAGCTGAACATCCTGTAACTCAGTTGTGTCCCAAATTTTCTGATCGAGGAGATTGTGGAGCCACAGAGGAATGTGATTGATGATGTATAATGTGCCTGGGGAGAGTCACATGGAGAGAAAAAACATTCTCTCAGGCTTTCACAGAGAGCAAATTGGTCGAGCAATGGCTGTGGACTCATTCACATATCTGACATTGACAAAAGATATGCAAACTGCAGTATAGGGTTTCAGGGTAAATCCTGAGGGGATTTGGCTGACCTCATCAGATACAAAAGTTACATTTCTTGTTATATAGGTCCCCCCAGGCACACTATACATCATCAATCACATTCCTCTGTGGCTCCACAATCTTCTTGATCAGAAAATTTGGAGCACAACTGAGTTACGTGTTATTATAGTACAGGTTCTCCTATGTCTCGAGTTTTCACTGACCTTGAAAGGCTAGGGCCAAAATGTTGGCTGACCTTGAAGCCCTTCCTTTTCTCCAATTTTGAACTGCTAACTTAGGTTGTTAATCCTCCAGAAGAGAAGCTAATTATTAACCTGTTCCATGATATGCCAAAGATGTTTGATATTTAGACAGATAGGGTAAACCGAACTGCATATATTTCAAGTCAGCAACTTCTGACATTGCCAGTCCTACGGGTAACCCACTACTATTATGGACTACTGGACTATACTGGATTATTTTGCTGAATTCATGCACCACAATATTTAAATGGCAATGAAGGTCAGATTCATAATCTTCATCTAAAACTTCTTAAAAACTAAAGACTAAGAAGAAGTTAGCTGCCCTCCTGGCTTCCCCTCAAAGAGGAATGCTTCCTAGAGAAAATGTAGAAGACGGCCCCGCTGAGAGTCTCCAAATGACTGTGAATCAACAGAAGACTTGTGAAATGAACTGCAGTATCAAATTAATATTGCAGATAATAAATGTGGACATAACACTGTTGCTATTGTTTCCTCATATAATTATCAAATTCATGAAGAAATTTTAGCAGAATTACTATTTCCAAGTACTTCCCTAGAGCACTTAGAAACTGGGCAGTTTGACTTCAGGTATTTGGAAATGGGAGACAACCATGGCCCAGCCCCAGAACCTGTGAATTAACTAATAATCCCCAGGACATAGATCTGAAACAAGAGCATGATTACTGCAACCACACCATAGGAGCAAATGTGAAGTTTAGGTAGTCCCCCAAATTAAAAAAAAGTCTGTAGGACACAGAACTTGGTAAGCCCATGAAGACTGTTAGCTTTGATGAGTTTTTTCCTACTGCATTAACTTTTTCAGCAAATGACCCCTGAACTTACCTAATTCTGATGAATGTTTGACAATTATTGAATATTTGTTAACTCTGTAATATTATTGCTGTTAGAAAAAGTTAACTGCATTTTCAGAAACTGTCTATACACTGTCCTTGTAATAACCTTGAATGAAATTTAAGCTACTGAAATTTTTACCTTTGGTCCTACTCATGAAGAAAGCAACCAGTCATACTAACTAAGATAATTAGGAGTTGTTTTCTCCTTATTGATTTTATTTTGTGTTAAAAAAAGCTTTGCAGGGAAATGAAGATTTCAAATGCTAAAGAGAAAAAATATGTCTAATTTTAATAATGTGTACACTGGGGCACATTAAACTTCTGGATTTTTTAAAAAAGATGGAGAGATTAATACTCCTAAAAATCATTTTATCAGTTACACATTTAATATTTGCCATGTTAGAAATTAAAAATAAAGGAAGCAAGAAAGAAAGTCATTAGAAATCTTTAATGTAGGAGGTTAAAGGATTTATCAAGACCAAGTAAAGATCTAGGTTTGTCAGAAATGAAAAAGTAAGAGAATTAGAAGAAAATAACGATGAAAAAGAGAGGATTATGGTGGTAGGTAACATTTGCTGCACACTTTTTGTCTTCGGGACTCTTCTAGAACCATGTTTACATATTTATTTATTTCTATAATTCGCATAACAGGTCTACAAGACTGAAGCAGACCATACAGGTTCAGGCTCTAAGAATTGGCAAAACAGGGTGTTTGTACATCAATTAAAGATGAGAAGTTGAATTTAAAGCCTAATAGGCCAAGATTCACATCCCAACTCTACTACTTTGGCCCAAATCTGCAAAGTAGAGTTGGTTCAGGCAAATGGCTCATACATTGTGTCAACTTGATGTCAGCTCCAGCAGTTCCAGGAGGTGGAGGTCCCACCCTGCAGAAAAGGGCGGGTCCATCCTGGGGTGCGATTGGTTCCATCCTGGGGCCTATTGATTTTGCCCTGGGGTGCAGCACAAGGGGCCTGCCCCAGAGTAACTCAGCACGTACAGTGTATATAAAGGAGCTAAGGAAGGCAGCTGCTGTCTGCCCTGCTTTGTTGGAGAAGTGATGGTCTTCGGCATGCCACTTCGCAGCTGTGCCACTTGGGAGGAATTTGATCTTCGCAGCCACACCACTTTGGAGGATGCTCTGATCTTCTGCTCTTCTTTGTTTTCTGACGCCATGAGCTGCTGCCATTTGCCTCGGAGCCAGCAGCATGTGAACTGCAATCTCCACAAACTGTGAGCTAAATAAACTTTTCCTTCCTTCATTTTGAGTGTTGGGTATTTGTCCCAGCTGCGAGTGAAAAGTAACCAAAACAGTGACTGACATGGGAAGGTACTGAGTAACAGTAGTCACAATTATTACTATCATTGTGGTGACAGTGTAGTAATGGCCGATGTCATGAGTTTCTAATATCTTGAATACAAGTCCCCAGTCCTATATTCACATTAATGGAAGGTTTGTTTGAAGTATATAGTATACTGTACTGAGCACTGGAAATAGAATAAAAATTGCCTGTTCATTTTCTGTCTATCATTAATTTGTCACATGACCTTGAACCTACTTACTGCTAGCTTTGAATTTGAAAGGAGGAAAGATATGAACTCTTGGGTTTTTTTCCAGGTAAAATAACTCATGAGTGTCTTTAATCCATCTTTACCTCTGCTCTGAGCATAGTATTTGAGTATTTCTGGATCAGAAACAAATAAACTTTGTGCTATTATTTATAACACACAGTCTGATGCTAATTGTAATTAAAATCTAGGCTTAGAATGGGAAGTTATGACAGTACGTCATCATGGTGCAGGGAACAGTGATGATCACTGAATTACACTCAGGCCAGTACTGCTCAGTGTGAAGACAATAGATAAAACTCAAAGCCAAAAATTTGAAAAATGGAAATACAAGAATGTTACTGAGCAGTAAGAATGGTACATATCCAAAGAGTCAATTGAAGACTTAAAAGTGATTGAGTCTGGAGAAAAGCTGTTGGATTTCATGATACGGTCATTAGAGATATCAACTGTGTGCCTTTATAGCTTCACTAAAGATAAAAATCAAAATTAAGTAATTCTACCTCTTCAGAAAAACAAAAGTATAACTGGTTAATGGGTGATAAATTGGAGCTTTGGATGGGTATCAGAAGGTAAATAAATCTGCAAGTGTATGTGGAGATAAGACTATGAATTTTGTTTTGTTGGGTTCTTATTTATTTTTTTTTTATTTTTAGGGAAAGGTCCACAGGGTGTTCAGGGTCTCACTACTAGATCGGACTCGTAGTGATTCACCTGTTTACAGCCTCCCAAGAGCTGGGATTACAGGCATGTGCCATCATGCCCAAGACTGTGAACTTTGTAAGCCATGTGAGTTTTAGTCTTTTTCCTGAAATCTGTAGAAAATCAAAGAAATAAAGATGGAACATAGCAGATTTGCATTATGAAAAATGATAATCTGACTTCTTCATAAGAATAGAAACTCCATGAGAAGAAAGACAAAACAGCTCATGTGACCCTAACATATAGACACAGGATTAATACATATGGTTTTCAATAATTGAGAATTAATAAGTTGATGAATGGATGAGAGTCCATTTTCTTGTCGTCATAGTTTCCCCAGATGTATAAAGGAGGCTGTTTCCTGCCCCACCCTCTTATTTAATTCCAGGAATATTGGGGAGACTATATAGTAAGTATAGAATACCAGAAGCATCTTAGGAAGCACTGTCCTTTACAAGGGTGAAAGCAATATTCTAAGGAGTAGCACATATGGAAATGAAATGAAATATGAGTATCTGCTCTAGTTTATGATGGCAGAAGAAATACCTCGCATGAAATAGGGAAAACCTTCCCTCAAAATGATTATATTAATATTGTGAATATCTTTGAAAACAATATTTGAAATTGTTTTTTCTTTTGCACTTAAAGGTATTTAGAAAAAAAATTTTTCTTTTGAAAATTACACTAGAAATACAGCCTAGCCAATACTTTAAGAGTGTATTGAATATTTGAATATTTATTACATATTTGAATATTTATATATTCATACATTTGAATATCTTTATTGAATATTTATAATGTTAGTCTAGCTTGTAAAAAAATTCATGTGAGCAGCAAAAGTTTGTCATAAGCAATAACATCTCTTATGTGGATTCTTTCCCATTCTTTTCAAGGGAATTTCTCGGAAGTTTTTCCACTATTCAGTTTCAGACTCAAGAGAATTTTCTAAGTTTTTTTCCCA